CTTCATTACAATCTTCTACGGTCCTGTGAAGTGTTTTAGCATTTCACGTGTTGTTTATTACAAATAATATACTTTGAAAAAATTCTTAACAAATTCTCTTTCTGTCTTAAAAAATAATGTTGGCGCCCAGTAATTATGCCTCTTGACCTAGCATTTATCTACCTGGTAAAGTAGAAAAAAAAAAAAAAATGGCAGCAGTAAATCAGTTACATGTTTGTCACCTAATAGAGAACTGTTGAATGCTTACCCTATGTTTTTTGGAAAGTGTTCCCTTGGTTTAACCAATAAAAGGAAAGTAGTAGCCATTAAAGGACTCAAAAAATAGTGTCTTACTGGCTCCTGTACAATGCCAGACTACTTTCTTGTCTTGACTTAATCGCATATTTACAAGAAGCAAGGCTTTGCTTGTTATACTGAGATAGTAAAACTTGTAGATGATCTGTAAGGACTTTCTTCAGGGAGGAGTGTATAGTATTTTCCTGTTCTCTGGGGAATTATTTTCAAGTTATTTGTCTTCCTTTTTGGTTGTACCAAGTTCATGCATCGCATTTTAGAAATAGTAATTCTTTGTAGCAGTGTTACGGAATTTCTCAGCAATATTTTGCAAAACTGAAAATACTAATTCAGGTATGCCTGTACTCCCTGTACTAGTAGCTGAAACTTCCCCACAGACTTTTTCAAAGAAAAATGTTTTCAACATGTTCTTGTGGAATGTTTCATCATTTGAGTAGACAAGTTTTTACCTTGGATTTATGCCAGATACCATTTGGATGGAAAAAGTAAATTCAAATGCACAAAACATAATAAATAATGTTTAAATGTAGTAGTTAAATAAGAAATAAAATAATTTATAACCTACTAGGTTTAAATAATTGAAAACCAAGGGGAGGAAATTTAAAAATGTCTTCTGTATTTACAACTAAGGTTATATTTACATGTACATATGTGCATATACCTACACACTTGTGTGTATGTATGAGCATTTATGTATATATTTGTAAGGCAATATCTGCAGGTGGTAGGTTGGGCATATCTCTGCTAAAACAGCACATGCCAGTATTTTACAACTAGCTCATTTCAGTTTATTGCTTCTCTCTCTTTTATAATACATGGTTGGAGGAAAATCAAGTTTTTCTGCTTGATTTGGTGTCTTTATTGAATCAGTAAGCAGAAAATATTTTAATGCACCAGCAGAAAGAGTTACTAATTCTAAAAGCTAATGTAATGCCTCCATCAACTCTGGTTCCTCGTGCTTTGCCAGCAAAATAAGATCATAGAAACGATAGGCTGGAAGGAACATGGCTGACAAATTCAAAAAGAGAATTACTAAATCATTCTAACACTATGTTTTGCTTGCTTTAAAGTATTTCTTTCAGTGGAGATTCCATATCCTCCCTCCTGCTTTGTCCTGTTTTCTTACCCATGCTGCTAGAATTTTTTTTTTTTTTACACTAACTTAATTTGGTTTCTCTGCAGTGTCTTCTAGAAACAACAATTACAATATATTTGTTTTTTCATACATGTTCTCTTTGACCTTCGATTGTATTTTTTATTCTCCTTTGGACACTGTCCCAGTTGGTGTTGCAGTGAGGTGCCGAAATGAAACAAAACTCTAGATAAGGCCTTGCCCAAAGCTAAGGATAGCAGAAAGATTACCTTTCCTTTGTAATGGATTATACTGCATTTATGCATCCCATTGTAATGATGACTTTTTATGCAACAACATGTTGTTGTTACGTTCTGTTTACAACCCAGTATGATCCCAAATGACAACTCTAATCAGTTGTTCCCCATTCTCTGTGGGTTCAAGTAATTGTTTCTGCTGCAACAAAGAGCCTCTGACCATTCCTTATTCAAATTCTTCATGTCATTTCTCCAGGTTGCCAGTATTGTTTTCAACTGAAGTCTTGTTCTCTTGATACAGTTTTAATTCACTTTGCTTTATGCCTCTGCAAATTTAATAAGTGTATACTCCCTTCTACTGAGTTGTTAATGAAAGTGTTAAACAGCATCAGGACAAACCTGTGTGGAACACAGCTCAGTGTGTCCTTTTTTGGTACATAACTACCTCAAGTTCAGCTTTTCAAACAATTTCACATTGATATGGTGCTTGTTTCTTCTTACTCACTGATTTGCTGATAGCTTGTGAGAATGTTGTGTGAGATGGTAACAAAAGCCACACTAAAGGGACGATATATAGCAGTGATTACTTTTCATCCATCCATAAGACCTCTTACTGCATCCCAAAAGTAAATTACACTGCATATGAATTACTCTTGATACATTTTGGCTACTGGTTACCTTTTTGTTCTTTCCTAAGCTCTTAAAAATTGATTATTTGTTCCTGTGTTTTCCTAGGCTGAGTGCCCTGTAGGTCCTTTGCTTTTTTCTTTTTCTTAACCCTATTTTTTAAAGATAATTGCCACACTTCATCGTTTCGCTGACCTAGCACATTTGATTCAATTCCTATTTTATTCCAGGGCCTAGTCTCCTGTTTTTGCACAGTATATGAATATGCATACACCCTGGGCTTTTTTGGAAGTCAGTTGGTTACCTTCAAGAGCACTCTTTGGCACACCGATAGGAGGGGTATCTGCATCATCAAATTTACATTCAGCATTACCCCAGGAGGCACTGCACCTTCAAGTACATTCGTGCCGTGACCTGGTTTGCGTAACGCTTTCTCATACACACATTTACTCAGCATTCTGGTATTAATATATTGTCTGACACTTGTTGTTATTACTGATGAAAATGTCAACAAGTAACAATGATTTTTATTTTAATGACAGAGGCACTAAATTGGGCCCAGAAGATTTGGAAACAGTAAGCTAAAGGGAATAGTAACTGCAGCTTACAAGTGACCTTAATGATGAAAGTTAATGCAAAAAAAGAAAAAAAAAAAAGGCAGTAAACATCTAGAATTTATTCATACTCTACGTATAACTTTATTTCTCTACTGAATAACAAGCCGGCACCACATTCTTAGGTGTTTCTCTTGGTAATATTTACAGAGCAGTCTCTTGTTATCATTGGCATCCCTTGCCAGTTGTGTCTCATCCTGCACTTGACCCTTTTCTGATTGTGTCTCTATATGCTGTGTTCCTTTAGACTTGTCAGTAGCAATCAGACCTAATTTGCACTTCCTGTATTCTGCTTTTTGTGTTTGAGCTCATGAAGTAGCTAAGCTGATCTCTTACTGTATTGCCTATTCCTCCCTTTCATTGAGATCAGAATTGCAAATTATCATGATGTAATTTCTATATGAAAACTACTAGTTCACCTGAATTCCATTCCATTTTAGGTTTCCCTTTTCTGTACAGTTTAACCTGCTAATTTTTCTACACTATTGAAGTCTGCCTACTTGATGGCCACTGTCCTTATCTTCCTCTTCACACACCTTCTTAAAAGTCACAGATAACCCAAGTTGCCTTCCAGCCCAGGTTTCTCATGAAGCTTTCTCCTGTTGCTTAGGTTAAAAATCTAGAAGAATTTTGTCCCTCTCTCCTCCTTTTTTTATCTGCATGCATTAGCTAGTGCATCCCTTGAGTAATCAGAAGAATTAGCCCTGAAAAAACAGGTTTGTTCAACCTTTCTTGATATAGTCATGTATCAGTCCATTGCTATGATACTGCCACTGCACTTCTGAGCAAGTATTTGTATCTCTGACATACAGGACACAGCTGGATTTTTTTGTTGGTTGGTTGTTTTTTGTTTTCATTTTTGTGGTTTTGTTTTTCCTTGGACTGTTCTTTTAAAATGAATGGTTCTTTTTATGATAGGGCTAGAGGATGGTGATTAGATAGATTTTCAGTATAATCTGTGTGTGCAGGTTCACTGGGGAGTGCAGTGGGGACTTCAGTACCTTGTTAGTACTGGTGGATGCCATATGTGTTTTGACATAATGGGATGTGATTGTATGACACCATTCTTGCCTTCCCAAGGAGGTTGGGTTTCAGGTATCCTTGCGTCCGAGTGGTTTGACCAGGTCTTGTTCAAAAGCACACACAAATTGAAGATCTCTTCTTTTACTTGTATTACTGCATTAATATACTTGCATTATACCTACCTTGAATAGGCGGGACACTTTTCACATATAAATAAAAATCTAAATTGAAATGAGCATATAAGTTAAGCTTCTTTCTTTTTAAAAAAAAAATGTAACAGGCTGTGGTGACTGTATCATCAGGAAACCCAAGATGAACATAGGACAAGCGGCTGTAGCAAGGTTTTATCATCCTCTCATCTGCAGCTGTGGAAGTACTGTTATATACGTTTATACAGTTATTCTAGTGGTTGTCTGCACTGTGTTAATATTTTACTGACAGGCCTCTATTTTTATTAATTTAGTAACAAAAAGATATATTAATACTATTAGAAAATATTAAATACATCATGTATCATCTAAAATAGAAATAAACAACAGGAACAGGTTTTAATAAATCTTATTATTTACTTGATATTTAAAAAGTGTTGTTTTTCCCAGTATTCTTCTTTACTCTGGTTTGAATTCACAGATTTCATAGTACAGCTACTTTAAAAATGAAGCTCAGTATTTAGGATATTGAAAATATATGTTTAAGTAAAATAAGTTCAAATTTTTTGTACTTATTTCAACATTTGAGCTGTTCCTTTGTCCTACTTGTCTTCCTGGTTTTAGAATTAAAATATGCTTCATTGGAATAAGTACTGAGGGTAATAATATGTTTTCTAGTTGTATTTTCTCCATATCTGCTCAGTATTTGATTATGGACAAGGTGATAAGATATATTGCTTTTTCTACATCTTTTGGTAGTCAAAAAATGTTTTAAAAAACCTCTCAGCTTTATAGAAGTGGCATTTTCATCAGTGATGGTTATTGTACGGTACTTCTTTTGCTGTGAAAATCAGTGTTGCAGAAAAGCATCTGTGGAGATGGTGAGTGGGAAGAAGGTCTAAGATGTGTACTTGTAGATTTTATGTTGGGGATTTCTTAAGTGACAGTTTGTCTTGTTTCTCAGCCATATTATGTCTGAGTATGTGAGGATGACAGATACAGAGCGTGATCAGATAGATCAAGATGCTCAGATATTTATGAGGACGTGTGCCGATGCCATTCATCAGCTGAGAACAGAAGGTAAACTGAGCAACTCTTAAATATTTTTTCTTAGTTAATGATAAAGGCTAATATAATGCTGAATATTGGTTGGTGAATCTGAAATGCTTTTGGAAAGAGATTGGTGAAGTCTCACTGCTTTTTCGTTTGCATCTATGTAATCCCATTGGCTGATTAGTACTGTACTTAATTTTATTTCGTGTTAGTGGAAGGAGAAGCCAGAGCATAGAATTTTATTTGTTCATTCAAATACGATAATTATCAAGTGTAAGAAAAATAGACTTAAATATTTAGTACTTGAATAGTAATTTAGCATTGTGACACAGAGGCCTAAACCAAAGCTCACTAAATTCAATGCTTACCTCTTTCTAGCTTGCCCACCTGTAGGGTACTAAGAGTATAATTTTTCCAAGTTTAAGATAATTAATTAACTTTAATGGAGTCCTGGTAAAGTAACAGCATTTCTGACAACTTGAAGATGGGATCATACCTTTACAACACTATTTTACAGAAGTTGTAGAGAGAACTTCTGTATTGCCATTTTCAAGTTGACTTGCTGTCTGTGTGTGTTTTATCAATATACCAAAGATCTTCATCAGCTTTGAATGCCATCTAAACGAGGTTTCAGCATTATTCAGAATCATTGAAAGTCAGTCATGCATGGGAACTACTTAGTTATATATGTATATAACATATATTAATAAGAAATATTAATATATTGTGTCAAGCATCCTTTTAATTCACATAAATCCCAAAGATTTCCACATAGCCTATGCACCGGAGAATGTAAAACGTTAGAAGTTCAGTATTTTAAGCAAGTTAAATCTCTAGATCTGTTTTGTTACGCCTAGTTTGGTGACATCTATTCTTGTTTATAAATTTAACTGACATATGATTCAGTGGCATATATCATAACAACATAAATATTGTAAAACACTAGTTGTTTTCAGATTTTGGTTTGTTGTAATGATTTGTTTTACAGAACCTATATTTAAATACAGCTATGTTTAAAAGAGATACTAATATAACAAATATAAAATGTTAATAGGCTCTTGAATATAACTGGCATATCAACTGAAAATGCAAAATTTTGTGCAGTTCAGTAAAAAGTTAAAAAGTTGTGTTATATCTTTCTTTTGTATTTCAGCTCACAAGGGTGTCCAGTCTGCTCAGGTAAAGGAGCACAGAACAGCTGTCTTGGACTTCATTGAAGACTACTTAAAAAGTACTTAGTATTTATTGAATGGTTAAAAATGAATCATTGTATTTTCCGTGAAAGAAATCATGCTCTTCTAAACTGACATTTTGTTTACTGCTGTCCTGAACAGGAGTGTGTAAGCTGTATTCTGAACAAAGAGCCATCCGAGTTAAGCGAGTGATAGATAAGAAGAGACTGTGAGTAGTGTCAAAAAATAGTTTAACTGTGCCTTTTGTTTGTAGGACATTCAGCAAAACTGTTATTCATGTTTAGATTCTAGGAAGATTATTTTAATGGGACTCTGTAGTTGGATGAGCAACTTCGGCTGTCAGCAAGTGCATTCCAGGGTGCTCTCACACTTCTGGCATGTGAAGTTAAGTCTGTAAATGTCAGAATGCCCATATAGTGTTGTACCATACACATCAATAACTAAATTGTTGAGTGGTTTTTCAAGCCTTGATGCTGCTTTATCAGTTTGGTGTTTGGCTCGATCAGCTGTTTACATTGAAACTAGAGATGTTTTCAAAAGTCCATAAGTATATTTTATTCAGAGTGATTCAGCACGATTAAGCACAATTAAGATTCACTCAAATATATCCTACTGAGACATAAATAGTAGTATAAGCCAAACCCAAGTAAACTAAACACCCCAAACCAGTTTTGAAATTTGGTAGGAAATAATGAGAGAAAAGTAAGGCATAGGTATTCTTTTCAGAAAAAAAGCATACAGAAACAAACTGTGATATTTTTTGTGTATAAAAATGCATAACCTTATCAGTATTTTTCACACTAAAGAATTTCATAGAAGATAGCATTGTTTCTGCAACTATAGAATGGGCTAACAAATACCAGCTCTTCTGTTTGTTGTACTCTTATATTATTGTTTCTGTGTGAAATCCGAGGTTCAAGTTTTCTCAGATGCCTCACAGAGAAAACAAATCAATTTGATGTATGTTAAACATGGAGCAATTAAAAAGCTATTTCAGAAGTTAGAATACCACTTAAAGAGCAATAAAGCATTAAAAAATAACCCAGAATATGCAGTCCTTTTATGTAATATTGGAGAATACCTCTTTGCCTCTTTTTATGGATGTAAGAACTAGAAAACAGATGTTGAGCGGGTGGGGTCCGTGTGCGTGCGATGTAATGGCTAAATTGTCATTTAAATTAAAATTCAATTTAAATCACAGAGCATAAACCAATCTTTATGATGACTTGAAGAAAAATAATCTTTTTTCATAGGCCTTCAACTAGTTGATCAGTAATTTCTCCGAGGATTTCAGCAGACATTGTATGTGCTAAAAAGAACATGTTCCATCACTTAAAAGAAATAGACATTCTTTAATTAGTGCATCCCAGGCATTTTGGTCATTTTTAATTGAGAACTTTGTACATTAGCATACTGTGCAAAGTTAAGGGCAGCAAACAATAAAGGAATACATTTCTTTTAAAGTGAATTAATCCTAATGCAGATCTTCTTTCCTGCAATTTAGTCAACTTAAATATGTGTGTATCCGACAATACTGAATGGTTTGCAGTAGAAATATACTTCATCATGTATTGATAAACATCCTAAGCTCTTAAACAAATTGCCTGAGTGTTACAATTTTCTTACATAAGTTGCTTTTACGTATTAACTCCTATTTTTTGATTAAAAAGTTCTGCCAGTTACATAGGACTAGTTCCCCAGAATGAAAAGTTGAGAACTAGAAACATAAGCAGCTTTTCCTGTAAAGGTACTTGGTTGTGATTTTCCGTTTTTCTGTTTATTGGTATTCAAAATTATATTTCATTTCAGTTTTAAACTGATTTTTCCATTAGAGTATCTTTTGAATTATGTATGCAATTATTCAAATCAAGATGCTACTTTTATTAGCTGGGGAATTGGTGTTTTATTAATATCAGAACTATTATTTGAACTGGATGGACATCCAGGTAAGTCTTTTTTTCCTCGTTATTAGGCAAATTTGGGACTTGAGAGGGAGAAGAGAGATGAGTTCTTTTTTGTAAAATGCCCAAAAGCCCAGTACTTGCAGAGTTTTTAGAGCTAAGAAAGGTTCTTTGTTACTGTTTTTTCTTGTTTAAATGACGTAGTCACTCAGTGATGACTAATGCATTATATTCTATTTTTCTCAGAATTTTCTAATTATGGGTTAGAATTTAGACACAATACAAAGAAGGAAAGGAACACAGAATGCAACACCTTCTGTTAAGCAGCAGAGGAAGATTGTAGATCGTAATGAGATTAACTGTTGATTATATTTGAGGGGAGGATGTGATTAAGGTGTCGCAGCAGGTGATCCAGCCCATTGCTTTTTGGTTTTTTGTTCTTTAGCTTCTCTAACAACATAACTGCTAAGCATTTAACTGTCTGCTATGTAGCAGTTACAAAATTAATTGTAGACAGCAATAATCCACAGAAGTTTACTGGAAAACATGTGTTGCCACTAATTTTAAACTTTTTTTGCTGTCACAGTCAACATATTTGACAAGTACTTAATATATAGTCACTGAATATGCTTCTCATGTTTTGCATTGCTTTTTTGTTAAAATTACATAGCAGAGACTTAGATGTAGTATATATCTGTCCACTGCATACTTTTTTTTGTTTCCTTGCTTCTAAATGGTCTGTAGTGTCTTTTGGTAGACAAGGTAAGAATCGCTTTCATCCTAATTAAAGTATTCTTTAAAGCTACTTAAATAAAATTACTTGTTTCAGGAAAAAGCTAATTCTGTTGTATTTTCTTACTTTTCCTTTATGATAATTGGTAATATAAAGTAAAATTGTAATTATTACTTGGAAAAAAAAAGTAATGGTGTTGGCTACTGCTATTAAAAAGAACTTCCAGTGTGACCACAGTGTTTCAAAATGTTGTTTGTTTTGGTTTTTGGAAAATATATGTGTTTTAATACACTGGAGTTTTGAAAGGAAGTTTAATAAAGTGTCTGTGTTTTTATGCTATAGCCTTCAAAATTCTCCTCAACTCTGAACATGTAATGTGTTGTGTTCAGGAATACTATTTGTGCTTTTTGTGCTTTTGTAATAACATTTCAGTGAAAGTTACTAAGTACCTTTTGTGTCTTGACTGGGAAATCTTTACTGTGAAGTTTGCAAGAGTTAATGTCAAATTTAATAATATGTAATTGTTCTCATTTTAGAGAATTTCATATGTTAAATTATTGGATCTTGTGCTTCTAGGTCCAGACTCGAACCTGAGCAGAGCAATGTGTCCAGAGCACCCCTTTCCCATGAAAAATCCTCACAGAATCCTTTAGATGATTCTGAAGAAAAGCTTTCTGCCGAGGAAAGCAAAGGTAAGAATAAAACGTAGTTATATTTTACTCTTTGTGGCAAGGCCTGTCTGGTCAATAGTACTTCCTTCACATTACAGGGACCTGTTCCTGTGACTCGCACCTTTTCTATTTTCATCTTTTCTGAGTTGACCAGGCTTTTTTGAAGCACACTGTGAGACTGCGGAAGAAAAATCTTAGACTTTTTGGCATGCTTTTTCCAACCAGCTAAAAGTCTTATGCCTTGCTAGATTCCTCATCCTCTCAAAGTCTGTGAACTCTTTCCTTTTTATCTATTTTTATCAATATCCAACTACTTACCTTCTGAGATCTGTCTGATTTTTCCACTGATCGCAAGGAATTGGAAAGTAGCTCAATGATTTTCTGGGAACATTTTCTAGTTTTTAAGCACAGAGACCTGACCTGGAGTTGGACACTTCTACAGTTGGAATTCAAAGGTAGAATATGCTCATAGAGAGGAGGTTACTGGATGGGCAGATCCAGTAGTTTTGGGGACGTTCTTCTCCACGGCACTGAGTTTCCCTGCTGGAAGGATTGCATCTCATCTTCCATTGTGCAGGAGACAGCCAGAAGTCCAGAGCAGTATGTCTGACCCCAGAGTCATTTCAGCTGACACTGTTCTTAACAGGACTTGGGAACGTTGGTTCCCATTCCTTGGTGGCATGCTTCTGAGGCCAGGGGGATGTAAGTCCCTTCTCTTAGCCATTTCAGTTTGTCCTGGGACATGTACGCTGCCTGGACTTTGTTGCCAAGTGCCTTTTGGAGTACCACCACTATGCAGATAATTTCAGGTTTCCTACCCAAAGAGAAATCTTGTTTCTGTGATTCTGGAGTTGCTTTCTCTGGCTTGAGTTCTCCTGGTTGTGCTGTCTAGAGGAGTCCAAGGTATCCTGTGATTTACAGCATGAAGTTTGTGGGGTTTTTTCTGTGAGAAACAGAAACCGTAAGAAATGTGACGTTACATTGGGATAATACCTCATTAAGACAGAAGAAATACACTGGATGGCCAAATTATTCCAATAATCAGTTATTGTTTCTTTAGTGATTTTTATTAAAAGAGTAAAATTCCTCTGGTTGGTGACCTTAGGGCCGTAAAAAGGGTGTATTCATGTGAAGTGGGTACTCCATTTCTGGTTGAAGACTCTAATACTGAATTACCTCACAGTGTGTAAATGGTTTTATTTTCTGATACAGCATGGCTTATCTTCCTAACCAGTTTGTACTTCTGCAGCCCTATCAGTATGTTTTTTCTCCTGTCCTCCCCCCTCCCCCAACACTGAGTATATTATAAGAAGTAAAGGTTTTGAATATGTGTCATTTCTAGTGCTTATGTTGTTCTTATAGTATGTCTTAAGTGATGCAGCACACAGGCACGGAGGTTAGATGAGTTTCACCTTAACACATTATCAGTGTTCCACAGCTGTGAGCTAGTGCCAGCAGAGAGGCAGCAGCAGTGTAGTAGCATCTTCACTGCCCTGTGCTCTTTCCTTGTTACTGAACATCTCGGCAGTCTCTGACAGTGTGCACACCACATAGTGATGTTACAATTTTTAGCCCAAAAAATCTGTGCCACACTGTGGAAAACACTGTTCTTTGGTTGCCTTGGACACAGCAAACTACTGCAATAAACAGAACTGAAGCTTTGTTTGTTGCACGTTAATTTTGATTACTCCAGTTTTCACTTCGATTAGTTTATACTTTAATTTTTTATAAGAAAGTAGGGGTCCTGTCACAAGTGCTGCTGATGGAGTACTTATGAGGGATTGCTGACTAGTCTTTGAGAAAACTATGAAACTTGTTTATCAAAATAAATCTGTCTGAAACAGATTGTAAATGCACGCAGCCTGTGCTTCCTCACATAAGGGTAAGTGTTGGTTGCTGCTGCTTATAGGAATCAGTCTTGTGACTTTGCTGGTAGGGGATTGTCAAAAGCACGGAAATAGCATGAACAAGATGACTAGGAAACAGCTCAGTCTAAATCTTACAGCCTTTGATTTATTTTTTTTTTTCAAGTAACTTTCCAAGTTTTTAAGAAACTGGAGAAATTGTCGTGTTTAGAAATAAACTATTTCACCCTCAGGATGTTGGTGGTTTAGAGAATGGTGATCACTTGTGTTTATGAATTAGCCATCATCAGTGTGCCCAGGTCCCTTGTGTTACATATCTCAGCTGTGAAGATAGTTCTTTTGAGAGCAGCTTGTGGTCCTGTCCTTAATTTGAATGTTATGATGAACAGCTGAATGTGCTGCTTGGTGTGCTGAAGCACAACTTGGGTTTTGTCTGGTTTTTTTTTGGCAGAAACCAAAGCAAAATGTGTTTACTTTTGTTTTGCGGCAAAGCACCTGTTTACATTAGAATTGTACTGGACGTGCCTCACGGTAGGAAAATAGTCTCTGTGGAGCTTGCTTTTATGTGCTGACAGTATTTATTTGCATATTACAAATTTGACATTTAGTTTATGGAAATAAATGTAAATAATGAGTAGCTTTTGAACTGGTGCACAAGCTTAGCAGCTGTCTCCTTTCAGAGAGGATCTGATCATTACTTTGTATTTCCGTCATGCCTTAACTACTTCACTTTCTGCAAAAGAACTGTAGTTTGGCTTTTGCTGGATGAATTGTAGAAAAGCGTTTAGTGTCAGCTCTAGGAAGGCTGTGGAACAGCTTTCCCAGTAGCCAGAAACATGCCACAGTGACAGGAGGAACCCTGGGCAGATACGTGTTTCTTGCTTACCTCTTACTATAAATGTGTTTGCTTGTTAGCAATCATATTGGATACAGGTGCTGTTTTTTTAACAGTGATGACAGTGCCTGAAAGTAATTGGTTCCTCTGGGATAAAATAGGGATATGTCTTTTTTTCTTTTGGCTGTATAAACTAATTCTATTCTCTTATTTGAATCTAGTAAATAATTCACTTTGATTTTGATATTATGTAAATACATTGATTGCTTAAACAAATAAGTTTTGTGTTTTTGTGAAATAGATGTGAAATATTGATGATACCCCATGGAAAACGTAGAGTTGAATCTCTTCTCAACAATCCTGAAAGACATTCTTGTTTTTATTTCTTATAACTTGTAAGAAAGAACAGACTTTATTTTATTTTTCCTTATATTTACTATATTCCTTATCCACATCCCTCATTTGTAAAATTGTCATTGATTTTACATCCTGGTTTGGCTGTTGGGAAGTAAGGTATACATTTATAAAGGAGAGATACACAACAATACTCTTTAAATAATACTTATTTTTCAAAAGTTTTCACAAATATTATAGTGAAGGATAAGGGGGAACACTTCTACTTATAATCCTTTTCATATATTTGTTTATAAATAGGACTACCCCTTTCTGAGGCTTCCCAATACAAGTCAGTATCTGAATGATGATGCATCAGTGCTGCTTATGCAATTGAAAAAAATGAGGTTGAGAAGGTTATAACAAAATGAATGAAAATGCTTATAAATGCCTGGGAAAAAAAAATGACGGGATAAATAAGAAGGCTGAAATCTTGAAAAAGCAAAAACTAAATCTTTCTGTATTTTAATTTGCAGCCTGCATCTGATAAGTCAAAGCAATACTCAGCTTTGAGCCAGTGTGGGGTGGTGCGAATCTCTCTTTGGGGTTTTGTAAAAATGCCACAGCCAGTGGGGAGAAGAGAGGCCTTCGCAAGAGTGCAGTCTGATCGGTAGGATTTTAAACACTGATGTTAGAACAGCTTCAGAAACAGTAGGTTCCTGTAGCATAGTTTCTTTTCTTTCCCATTCTAACTTCTCCGTCTATAATCAGAAGTATATAATTAAGCCTAAAAATAAATCTTCCAGAAGGGAATATCCCAGAAATAGCTGTTCAAGATCTTTTATGCCCAACTCCTGCTAAGATTTATGCAGATGATTAGCTTTAATCAAAGGGGAAGTGCTATTGAAATCAACGAGGCAGCTATGATGTGTAAGAGTTAGTTTGTGGGATCTGATCAGGTTCCTGTTACACACAGGAAGACACAGCGCGCAGGAGGATTTGCACTGTAATACGCAGTTAGAACAGTGTGAGGAAATGGAGTTTGTCCTGTGAACTCTGCTCAAAATGTCTTTGAGATTCTGTTTTTACTCTTTGGAGTGAGGAGCTGGTGGTGGTTCTGTCAAGTCTCATTGGAAGATGATGGTGTGCATATAGACTGTCATTTTGAAAATTGTGTGTTTTCTTCTGTTAAATGCTACAGTATTTTGTGCCCTGAGAAGTCTCGGTGCATTGTGAGTTGTTTTACATCCTTCAATGTCAACACATTGGTGCAATTCCTTGTAGTTCACAAAATTAAACATACGCATAAGCTTTTGTCCCGGTTTAGAACTTAAAGGTTATTGGTGGGATTTTGTGGCGTAAATACGGGGTGAATCTCAGTTAATGACAAATGAGATACAGCAATTTCATAAGCATTCTGAAATAGATGAAAAAATGATTTTCACTTTACTCTCCAGTGTCCTGCACTGTCTCAAGTGTTTGGTGGTTCTTTTACAGACAGGAATCTGCCTGATGCCCAAAGTAACCTTGGATTATGGGGGGACGGAAAAGGTGAGGATGAGCTGTCACCTGAAGAAATACAAATGGTAAGTATATCTTGTGTCTTATTGTCTGTTTTATTATGTTTTCCGCTGCATTAATATGTGTTTTAAGAAAAAGTACAGATTCACCCAAATTCTTTTTCAACTTTAATTTTATGCAGAACAATGCCATAAAGATACATCTTTTGCACATAGCTTTCTGGTTATTTTGGTAGCAGTTAATATTTAAAATTGCTACAAAATACTTACATGGACCCATGAAATTAGTAACAACTATTTTTTCAACAATTGAAACTAAAATTGATTCGAAAATCACAATTACTACTTACATTTTTAGTCAGGAAACAGTAGAAGTCAAGGCAACATCAGAAAAAGCATTATGAAACTTCTGAAAGAATAAAGTTTTGGCCATGTTTTACTTGGACTATTTCTAGAACACACCTTAAATAGATGTACTATTTAAGTATAACTATGAAGTTATACGTCATTTTATTCCTTTTTATTTTTTTGGACTATCAAAATCAGATTAGTTTACTAGAAGGAATAGCTACAAGCTTTCTGTCACAACAGAATCTCATTAATTTTACCTTTTCTGCATTTCCCTGTTATCAGCACGTTTATGTACTGTTTCATCCAATTCTGCTTACAGTTGAACTGATATACAAAATTTCTGACATAGGCATGGTGGATGAGAGCCTATCTGCTAGAGTTTTTGATATTCCTAAAGTTTATAACTTTGAACATGGTTCAAAATTTGAAGAAAGCCTCTCTACATTAGCACACATTGCCTTGTTTTATATAAAAAGAAGAAAAACTGATTTATAACTAAGCTAATAGATGTGCAGTTTTCAAAATGGTGAGCTTTACTAAGCCAAAGGACTGCTGCAGCATGAATATGTGAAGCTTCCTTGGCTCTGATTAGAGATGTTCCCAAACACAATATGCATCACTCATCCCATCAGATGAGTGAGTTGCACACAATTATGGTATGGTTTGTCAAAGAGACAAGGTTCTTCAGGGGCTGCTCTTGCACTCAAGAACAGTATGAGAGCATTCAGTCTGAAATCTCAAGGGTTACTCCTGCTTTCTGTTTTCCTTTTAAAGAGAATTCTTTACATATTTTCATTCTTCTGTGCTCAGGCACAATATTATTAGCCCCCCTTGCTGTAAGTTTCCAGAGGAGCAGGAGGAAACAAGCATCAGAGGTGATGGCTCTGGCAAGGCTTACTAACAACTGACTACTAAATGTTGGATTGCATTTTGTAGGCCTCACACTGTAATTAAGTGTTAAACATGTTACATCCCTTGCCATGGTATTTTGGAAATAAATACATTTCTCTTTCATTAAATCCCTTCATACTTTTTAGAGTAAGGCTGTAGATACCTCATGATGAGGTTAGATGAGTTGCTGAAGTTTGTGAGTTTTGTTCTATTTCTGTTACCAAGACTGAAGAAAGATAAACATATTAAAATGATACTTTCTGCCCACTGAGGATCTGAATTTCCCTGGAGTAAGTTCTCTTTATTGAGTTGTGAGGGGGAGTGATTCCAGGCCTAAGTAAGAGAAAAATCTGTGTTCACAGTTTAATGATTTGAAGGATTTCTAGACTCCTAAATCTCTAGTCCTAAACTGCTTCTTATTAGGCGTTCAGACAGCTCTTCCTAGGGGAGAACCAACAGATACTTTTTAAAAAATCCACTATTATTCTTTACCCGTTCAGAGCTCTCCCGTGCTATGCCTTTTAAAAATTATTATATATTTTTAAAACTTTTACTGGTTGTTTTACACTGATTGATGTCTGTTGTGCTTTCAGGAGTTGCACTTCCTGTGAAAAGGGGTACACAGATAACTCTGATGCTCCAAATTAAATAAACCTTTAGCTCAGACAGACTATAATATGTCCTTATTCTTAGCTTAAGCAGTTCTGCCTATAGTTTTCAAGAAAATGTATAGTATATAACAGTGCCTTGAGGTCAGTGCCATGATTAAGCCTAGAAAAATGACTTGTGCTGGAAACTTCAGAGCTCAGTTTTAAATTTATCAGTCTGGTCCATGGAAAAAGAAAGACAAATTTGCTAATCTGTTTAGAGAAGCAGCAGTTCAAAATGGTATCAAAATGAAAGTAACATACTTTGAATTCCTGTGTATAGTAATACACTGAAATATTGTTACTGCTTTTGTACCATAGTTTATTCTTAAATTTCCATGTGTGACTTTACGTTTACTTTTTTTATGGGGACTCGTGTTCTGGTACTGATACTAGGACACGAGACTTGAAAAAAGCATGCAAAGGGATCTACCACTAGAACAGCCTCCTCTCTGCTTATAATTTATTCTAAGTTTTGCAGAGATCTGGTTCTGAGCTGGATGGCTGAATCTGCTGTTGCCTCTTGCTGTGGTTCTGATCTCACCCAGAGCTGTTCTCCCCTGCTGGACCTCGCTGCAGGCTGACAATGCGGCCGCCAGCAGTCAGGGCTCTGTCTCAGCTTCTCACGCTGACTACGAGTCTGTGCTGCTGGCACTGTTGTGAAGAAGTGCAGGCTCGCTTTCCACCTCTCCTCAAAATTAGCAAGCATCAGTTACTTCCACATTTTGCCTTGGAATGAGTCTACATTTAATATGATTTAAAATAAAAGTGAGGCAGCATTCATGGCAGTGTTAATACAGGCGTTTTTTTCTTTCTTCACCAGTTGTCAAGTCAAAAGCAAGCTGGTTTTTCTAGTTACAGTTAATGCCCCCCCCGTGAGGGTCGTTTCTTGTCAGGTAATTTTTTTACCATTGGATTGGACTGCGTATTATCGGAGTTGTCAAACCGTAAACAGGGAGTTGTAGATTTGTGTAATACGGACATGTGCACAGCAGGATTTCCCATGTAAATGTTGCCACTAGTATGTTGATGCTCAGAGCTGAGCAGGCCATTGCTCTGTTCTGTGGACCTCAGGTGATTTTTTTGTTTGTTTTTTTAGGGTTTGGGGTTCTTCTTTGTTGTCTTATGAACACTGTAACGAGATAATTTACAAAGGCTAACGATGTATGTGGTGACTATTCCACAGCAAAACTGCTCTTCCAGTGCATTTTTGAGGAAACTTACAGCTAAGAGTTGGTTTATTAGAAGTTGGATACTGTGTAATTTCATTCCTAACAGATTTTAAAGTCACTGGAGCCATTATTCTGATTTTCAGGTACATTTGGGTCGAAAGCGTAAATATAGGTGTAACTAGGAAATATTTTGAGTATTTGAACGTGCAATGCTTTTTTCATTGTGCCTTTAACACAGGAATCAAAGGGTCTTTACAAACATGTAACAAACGTCACAGCTTTAATTTATTCACTAAAAGGACATTTAATTATTTCTCCTCTGCATTCTGTTTGCTGTTGCAAAGAAGTTAATTTTTACGTTTTTCACATTTGAATTGTGAAGAGTGGACCAACTACATTTAAGTTACTTAGAAAATCCAGCATTTCTCAGAGGAGGGTATGTTACAGTGTAGAAACTGCTGTGTTCGTTTTAAATTGGAATGTGTTGTGTCAAATCATACTTAACAAGTCTCAGTCATGGTTCCATGATCCTTCCTGTGGTTAAAAAAATAAATTAAAGCCCTATCATACTGCTACAGCAACAATTTCTATCAGTATTTTACCCACAGCAGAGAGCTTTACATTGTTCAAAATGGTTGCAGGCTATTGTATGATTTGCACAATAAATTTCCATTTATAACTCTTGAGTACAGGTATATTAATGGTTTTTATAGTTACTGTGAGCAGATGTCTTGTGGTTGCATTGAGTGGGAAAAAACCTGGCTCTGCTGTTCAAGTTGTGAAAATACCTAATTTTCCCTGACTTTATCTTTGTTTGTCTGTTTTTGTCTTAAATTCAGGTATAGTACATATAATGACTTATCTCATGGAATAACAAAAGAGAACTGTGATTGTTTGTTCTCTGCATTAAGATTTTTAGACATCTCTTGGCACTTTATGCCATACTCTGCTAACAGAATATTTCACAGTCATAAAAGAGGCTACTTTAATAAGCCTTAAATCATTGATCACTAGTTTGGTTTATGTTCACATTGTGTAAATCCCTTGTGACACTCGTATATGATGTGTTCTGCGTTTTAACCTTTTGTTCAGTTGACTGTTCTCGCATATCTTACTGCTGTCTGCACCAAGCAGTCCATCAGCCATGATTTCAAACCACAAAGATCATTTAGCAGTTTAAAAGGCAATCTGTGCCAGTGGAGGGCTTTAAATATCAAAGGGACTTTTTAAAGAATACTTTCTCAAGTGGATTTGGGCTATTTTGTAAGGGATTAAAATAATTCACTGCTGCTTTATTGAAAATTTGCCTTCTAAATTAGTTATTGGTTTTACTAAGGCAGCAAAATAGGGAATTTCTAATGTTGAATATTTGTGCAGAAATACTTATCCTTGCAGAATTCAGAAAAACCATTCCAGCTTGCTGGCCCCATTTAGTTGCTTAAGGACCAACCAGTCGACTCGGTGCTAAATCTTGTGGCTGCATCTCATTGCTCTGTTCCTTGGCTTTGTTCTGAGGCGACTCCACTAAAACCAGAAACACGCAGTGGTGGGATTGTCAGGGAGAACAGTGATGAAAAACCTTTAACCATCTGCTGCTGTGAAGTAAATATCACTGTATTAGTCAATTATATTTTAACAAATGCTTGGCTCTGTAGAAGGAGATACTGCAAACAGCAGTGACAATGGCATTTCAATATATTGCAACACTGATACTTTTTTATTTAACAAAGCCATTGGATCTTTGGGGTGGAAATCAGTGGGACTTCAGTGAGCTGTGCAGTATGTTCCTCTCTGTTTCCCCTCGACCCATGGGACTGGGCTCCTTCCCTGAGGCCTCCAGCCCACAGTGAAGGTGACAGTGCCTGACAGCCCTCCTCCTTGTCTGTGATCTTGGACTCTCTGGAGTCCTTTAACCAAGGAGAGAAAGCTCTTCTTGACAATCAGGTAGATAGTGAACCACTAGTACAAAAATAAATTTGTATTTTAAAAGAAATTTTTAAAATAATTTTATTATTCTTCATGATAGAAATTCCCTGTGTCAGAAGACTAAACCTTTTTCTATGAGATTCACTGTTACCCTTCTTTAAACATACCTGTCACTTCACACTCACTCCTGCCCAATTAAACCTACAAATCTCGGGTTTTTAACACAGTACCATTTCCCCCTAAGTCATGCAGGCTGACATTTAATTTGTTGTTGCCAGTCAGGTACTTCCTCTCCAAGCTCCTGATGGGTATGAAGCAAGATGAAAAATGTTACAGCACGAAGTGGGGGTGGGGGCAATGGTGATGGCGTGGCGTGTGAGGAGGAGGGAGTGAAGGGTGTGCAGGGTGGCTTGCCTTCCTTGCTTTCTCGCTTTTCTGTGTTGGTCTGTGGCAGGGAAGAAGTCTTGCCCAGCTCCTGCTCTCCACTCTCCCTTAAGCCAGCCCTATCATCTGGTCCTGTGCTGGGATTCAGTTTACTAACTACAAGAAGGGTTTGGAGGAAGAAGTGGTGAGTGAGCTAAAATGTCATACCATGGAATCAGACAAGCAGCAGCACTGGCTTAGGACTCTCTGTGTGGGGAGAGGGGAGCAGGACAAATTCCTCAGTGGCTGCACTAGATCTTCTTCACTTCGCCCTTAGTGTACGCTCACTGTACACATTGGATTCCTCCTCTGTGTATTATGAAAGTGCTTGTTGTGGCAGAAGTTTCAGCTGGAACATTCGGGATCATTTCAGGGGTTTCATACACCAGCAACTGAAGCAATGCACGATGAGGAGTTGCCCAAGCTGTACAGGGAAGATCTTAAAAGACCTGAGATAGAGACGCTGGTGGCATGAGTGGGGCAGGGTGGGGGTCACAGTGGTGAGCCAAAGAGCATCACTAAACGTAGTGGTATAATAATGTTAAATTTACATACTCCTACAGGCTGGCTCTGTAAAAGAAAATGTGGGTCAAATGAACTTATATTATTGTCACTAATGTTCATGTTGCATCTTCATGATGAACTGCGTTGTTGTTTAAACTAGTTTGAAATGCTAAGTGCTTCATTTTCAGCTATTTCAGTAGCACTGCTCAAAAGCAGAACACCCATTTGCCTTTCACTGATGTAACATGAGCCTCCCTATTACCATTCTCTGCAATTCAGACTTTTTCCCTCTCCCTCCTTCTTTTGCTTTTTGCATAAGCTGATCATTGCTTCAGATAGTTAGTATCTTCTCTGTGCAACAGCTCCTTTCCTTGCAAGCTTAAGCATTGGGCATATGCTCAGAGAGCACTGACTGAAAACCAAGTCTGACTTGTAAGTAGTGCTGCTCTGTTGGCGTGTTCATCTTTGACAACACACTACTCTGTCTTGGAAAGGATAACAAGACCTTGCAAGGTGGCTGAGAGGACTGCTGCGCTTTTCCTGCTAATGAAATTGTAACATGATTGAATTATGCCAAAATCCCAGTGCGCTGTGTAGGCTAGTTCAAAATCAGGAGATTAACTGAACTAGAACAGGCCTTGGGGTCTTCCACAGCTCCCGTGTCAAATCCTTTGCATTCTGAATCCTGTTTTTTGTTATTTGCACTGTTGACCGTATCACTCGGGTTTGTCAGAAGTGTGTAGCAGCTCATGTTTTCAGCAGAGATGTATATCCTGTGTGCTCTTCCTATATAACCACGTAGACCAGGTCTTTCCCAGTTTTGTGAGGCAACTGCCAAGAGCTTGTCAGTTGTGTCCATACCACAAAGGTCCAGCTGTTACCAGGGCTTTGGCCACGCAGAGTTATTCGGCAGAATACCTTGAATACGCTGCCCCACTGCCCGTCCCTCCCCCAGAACGGGATTTGTCACCCTTCCAACACGAGGCACTCTGCGGGCCCCCGCGGGCTTGGAACCTGCTGTAGCTGGCGGCCAGACTGCAGGATGGAACTCGTGCAGGCACCCGGAAAATCCCAGCTCAGTCTGTCTGAAAAAGTCCTTTCTAAAACACAGTCCTTACGGTGCGGTTTCCAACAAGCTGCCCTAGGGCATGGGATACCTTCCTCAGCTGTATTTTGGCTGGGCAGGTATTGTTTCTGCAAACTGAGTCATCGTACTTGCTGCGTGACCACTTGTTCTGTCATGAATCCCCAATGATCTGACAGGCAAGTATATCTAGAAAGTCAAAGCTTATTTTCCGGGATGAAGTCTTCTATTTATGCTGTTATTTTGAAAAACATAGTGCTAAAAGTATATTTAAATGTTTCATTGCTTTCTCATGAGCTTTAAATGGAAGAAGTCTGCTGGAATAACTAAAGCCAATTCATTTGTAAAGTATTAAGTACTAGATGTCAAAGTATTTCATATTGCAGCAAAATCTAAAAGCTGGTAACTTCATGCCAGGGTCAGTATGTGAATAATGTGAAGGACAGTGCAAAGATGTCATGAAGAGAATCCCATGCTTTCTACAAGCGTGAAAGCTTTCCCTACACAAATTTCTAAAATAATAAAAAAGGACAGATATCATTCATTATATTTTTCCTTACTACAAAGGAACTTGAGCAAAATCTTAACAGTTGTTTTGGGGGTTTGTTTCATTAATGGGAGGAAAAGGACAGGCATTACAGTGACTGGTTACAAAGAAGCAGATTTGTGGTGTTCATTCAGGTCAGCATTAGTAATTCTTGAAGACCTGTTTAGTTGAGCCATACAGATAGATTGCAAGGAAGGGTGAAAGTTGGGTGACTGGGGTGGGGGTTGGAGAAAGTTCCCCGAGTCCAAGCGCGTCAGCTCCCGATTTCCTTCTTCCAGTTTGAACAGGAGAACCAGAGGCTCGTTGGTGAAATGAATAATCTCTCCGATGAAGTGAGGTAGGATTCCCTGTTCCTTGGCAGAGCGCTGTGCGCGCGGCTCCCCCAGCCCGTGCCCGCCCCCAGTGAACTTGCAGCAGGACGGCCGCGGCGCGAAGGGGGGGCGACACCGGCGCGCCCGGGGAACCCGCTGCAGGAGCTCACACCCTGCGCTGTCCCACGGGGTAAAGAAGGGCTCTGAGTGACAGGCGGACCGTCGGAAATAGTCCTGCTTAAATTTGGAAGGTTTACGCTGTGCCTTGCTTCTCTAAGTTTTGAGAAGCCAAGTTTTCCCGCTCGCTGCGGGGCTGGGCAGCAGGAGGGGAGGTTGCAGCCGCGTTGCTGTGGCAGAGCGGCCGAGCCCTCGGCTCTCCGTGTGCTGCGCAGAACGCCTGCGGGGCCAGCTCGGGCTAGAGCTTTACTTCTGGACCCTCAGTACCAGGCAAGGTGAATTCCACACCTCCTAAGCAGCGTGTAAAAAAGATGTGTCAGAATTAACTACTTGAGGTTCACCGTGGATTTTGTGACGTTGGCTAAAAGAAGGCAGATGCGTGAAGCTCTCGCTGTGGGGGCTGCTGTTGGAGAATTTCTGGGTGGTGCCTCTCCCCGAGCTTCAGTGGGGTCTGGCCACCCTCCAGCCCTGAGTGGTCAGCACTAATCCCAGGCGGCTGCTGCCTCACTGACAGATAACAAAATAGCTGTGCCTCCCCCACAGCCCGCTCACCGGGCTGGAGAAGCTGAATTTGTAGGAGCAAGAAATGTTTGCGCTGGTTTCTAATGGAGTGTTTCTGTCCTTTGCCAAGACAAATTGAAGGAAAAGTGGTGGAAATCTCCAGACTACAAGAGATATTCACCGAGAAAGTCTTGCAGCAGGTTAGTATAATTTAATACTACAGCAGCAAGTACGGCTTGAAGATTTTTTTTTCGGGGGGGTGTTTTGGTCTTGATGCATGTAAGATGTAAACATAAGATTAATGAATCTTTGACACAAATGTAAAGGGAGAGATTGAGTGGTTTTCCAAATGTAAAATCAAGATATTTATTCTTGTTACTTATCAGTATATATTAGTAATGGAAAATGCAACATTATGGGTTAGAATGAGCCTCAGAATTAGTGTCCTGTTAAATGTGTTACTTAATAGCATCTTTTTCTGGAAATGGTGGCACCTCTTCCAAAAGACCTGGCACAAATGGGAGAGGTTAGATGTGATTCTAGATGAATGGGAGCCTTCCTGCTGATCTTGGTGGCCTCCACTCAGGCTCATAAAATCACAGGTGAAGACATTGCAACTTAATTGCCTCTCTACCTTCACATCATTGAAACTAAGATGTCAGTAATAGCAGATTTCATTTCCTTTGTGAGTTCTGCTCATTCCCCAAGTCCTTGGAAGCGTGTTTTTTCCTAACATTCATCACACTTTCTCAATTTTATATTTTTCATCAGGAAACTGAGATTGACAACATCCATCAGCTAGTTGTGGGTGCAACAGAGAATATCAAAGAAGGCAACGAAGACATAAGAGAGGTAATGCCTCAAAGCTGTGTTTTAAATTCCCTTGTTTCTTTCAACTCCCAGTTTTGTCCGAGCATTGCTTTAAACAGCGCGTGTGAGCTCACCCGGAGCAGAGGGGCAGGGCGGCAGGAGACCATTTGGGAAAAACCGTATGAGTTGGCCAAGGGTCCCAATCGGTTGGGTTGCTGTAGGGGTCTGCAGGTGCCTGCTCCGCCTCCCCTGTGTTTGTAAACATGAAGGCCACCTGGCATGCACTGAGGCACCTGTGGAGTTTGTTTCAAAAATAAATAAGGGGGGAGAAATTGCAGACTACAAATAAGACAGTGCTGAAATTGCTGAAACTGGAGTTGAATGTTGAGCATTAGCAGGAGAGTCTCTGTACCATGCTGAATGCATCTCTCATGCTCCTCGTAAACAAATCTATCCCATTGTCTTACTAATTAATTAGAATGAAATTATATTTTCTTTTAGGAACTGAGATTTCAATAGAAACAGAGTTCTTAAATCAGGCTACTGAGTAAATGGCTCAGTTCCTTTTCTTCTGCCTCCTGAAAGCACAAGGAATATGTAACTCGGGTGGGTTATCTCCTGCTCAGCTCTCCTGAAAAGCGCCTCAAACATGGCATGAACTGAAGTTATTTTTGCTTCATTTGTCACCATTTCCTAAACCAAACTGAGAAACGGTAGAGAAAGGTGATAAATACACAACTTTTGTCACTCGCATTAATGTTTGTATCACATGAAGAACTCTATTCTCCGTGTAAATCTGACAAATGAGAGAAAAACAGGTCCCCTGGTATATGCTGGTCTCAATTTGGGGAAGTAGAATCCAAGAGAAATGCTTGCTATACTTGCTCCAAGGCTGAAAGACATGATTGACAGTGTTAAAGCCACCTCCAGAAATAGCCATCGGGTTTGGGTTTCTCTGGTTGTTTTAGTCAGAGGAGGTTTATTAGACTGCTGAAGGCCTGATTATGTCTAATCATGAAATCTCACTTTTGGAACTTAAAACTAACCTTTAAGCACGTACATTTTGATGTAGTTTGTAATTTATGTTGTGCTTAATGTTTTAAGTATATTTCTATTGTGTGGGACTTTTTGTTTTGTTGGGTTTTTTGTTTTTGTTTTTGTTTTTTTTTTTAAATAACCAAATTTACGATTTTGAGAGAAACTTCTTTAGTGTGATAAATCTAAAGAGATATAGCCAACCTGACTTCTAGTCACCTGAAACTACAGGCAAATTTTGTTCTTTCTCTTGCGGGAAGGAAGAGTGAAGCCATTATGTCATCCTGGGTTGCTATTGTTGAAATTCTATTGTATGTTTACTAGTGATGTAACGGAGAGAACCTTTTCCTCACAGGCCATCAAAAACAACGCTGGATTTAGAGTATGGATCCTGTTCTTCCTTGTGATGTGCTCATTTTCCTTGCTTTTCCTGGACTGGTACGATAACTAATTAAAATATAATACTGTCTACATGCTTTGTAAAACTTCTGACATTGTTTTCAATAGAGCGGGGTACACAGCACACCTGTGTATTTTATGCACTTTTTCATACTGCTAGGATGGAAATCTTTTCCAGTATATAAGCATGTGTATATATCTATTAGTGCAGAGGGAGCTGACAGCATTCATCTTAAATCCCTTTATCAAACATAAACCCACATTTAATCCTGCAAAGAACACAGAAACCTTTGAAAGAGCTGGTAAGAAAGCTGCAAGCTGGAGTACAGCTAACGGAAGAAAAGAAAAGTTTTATCATAGTCACCCACACATCTGTGATGTCTGAAGTCCAGCTCCTGGTGTGCAGACCAGATCAAGAGAGAACTGTTACTGTGCAAAAGCATCTACACTGTCTCAGGCTTTTATTTAATCATGCCACTTCAGTACACAGTGATCATTTTGCACATGTATGACCTCTACTTCTACTCCTTTGAAACTACTCGAGTCAGAGATCAGGTTGATCTAATAGTAATAATAATAAGTTGTCAACTAAAGAGCTTTACTTCTAGGTGAAAAGAGAGAGTACAACACCAACAGATTGTGCAGTGAAACAGACGTTCAGGGATGTCTGAGCAAAGCCGAAGGGTAGACAATATTAAAGCCAAACTCTTCAAAATACTAAAATTAGGAGCGATTTGTTAAGTAAATTAAAAAGTCTCAAAACCAACTGTAGATAAGGATCAACTTATCCTTACAACCTTACTTACAACCTGTTAAATTGGAGGAAAAAAAGGTTTTGACTTTAAGAAGCATGAGCAATCTGTTTCTCCTAGATCATAAAGCTTAGTACTTTTTAATGTTTGTTAGTATGGGAGAGAGAAGTAAGTTTTTTCTCATCAGTATTTCCTTGTGCAGTAAAGTTTTTATTGTCCTAAATTTAAGGGGAAGAGATGTATCATGAATCATTTCTATGTAGGACAGTCTTGGGGAACAATTCTTTCCATCTTGTAAAATCTGAATGCCCTCTGTAAATATGTTGATATGAAATGTGTGTGTTGCTGTCTTTCTTCTGAACTGTACATTTCCATACATTATATGCAACAACCACCATCTTTATTCTTTACTCTGCACAGAGTGAAAATGTCAAAAGTTACACATGAATTAACTGCATCCAATAAAGCATATGCCTGTTAGAAAATGCAAACATGGTATGTTTGGAATCTCTTAACATAAGCTTGACATTTTTAAATGCAAAGAAAAATTTGGCACATAATTTATTGCTTTGTATGCATTCCACATATCATACTGACTTAATAAAAAGCCTTTACGGATATACTGTGTAATGCACATTTCATAGCAAACCTAGAGACTTCGGTAGTAATGGTTATTTTTACTTTAGTGGTAAGAAAGGTTGCTGATAAAGCAATTCTTCTGAAGAAAAATAAAAGCAGAGCTGACCATGTTTGTTCTACTACAGATCTTGAGAAACAGCCCAAACCGCTGTTTTCCCTTTATTTTGGTATAGTCACTACTGAAAAATAAACAACCACCAAAAAAGGAACTTTTGACATGTCCACTCCCCCTTGTCCCATTCAAGTTACATGAACAAAAAGGTGACTCACCCAGATGCTTCACACACTTTTGTCTGTTAAATTAATAAGTTGTCTTTTTTGTAATAGATATTTAAGATTTATAATAAGAATGAAAACATGGTTTCACACAAATAATAGAGAAGTTTGTAATTACAATGGAACTTGAACGTGCATCCACAACACTATGTTCTTCTCTATCTCTTCCCCTCCCAAGCCATACATAAGCAGTTCTACTCTTCACTGTTTCACATGTAGCTTTAAAGCAGCCAGCTGTGTTATCTAAAACACTACATTTCGCTTTCGATGCTGTCTTTAAAAAAAGTATCAAACTGCAAACCATACATAAACTGAAAGCTCCTTCTACTTAATAACAAGGGAAAACCTTAATGTAATAAAAGAACAAAATTGACTCCCTCAGTTGTATCCAACAAATTACAGTGGACTACATCTACTGTGAGTAGGCTTTCTGCCTCTTGAGTATGATCAAAAGACGTTTCTCATTAGAACATCCTGAACTGTATTTTTTTTACACTTTCCTCAACATCCATCACTAAAACTGCCTGTGTTTTTCCATAATGTCTATCTAGTTTGTGTTTCAGTGCACATCCTTACCAAGATGCTAAAGCCACAGTGGAAACACAGTTAAATCCTGTTGACAGCAATAATAAAACATTGAGCATGCCTTGTTGCAGAGAAGTTCATTATCACTTACAAATAAACAACAGTAAAGAAAATGTAAGAAAAGTGCTACCTGACAGTTTCTTTCTCCATACAAGTCATTACATCGTGCCCTTGACATCAATGCTGACTGTCATTCTTGCTTGAGCCAAAACTGAACATTAAATATAGCTTTCAGCTAAACAAGAGATCACTCTAGTTATGGCCAGGGTGTTTCAGTTTGCAAAGTGACAAAGAGTAAAAAAAATTAATAGAGTATTATTTTAGACAACAGAACACATGGTTTATCTAAGGTCCAAGTCCTGAAAATCCAGTGAAGAAATCTGTCAGTATCCAATAAACTGCAAGAACATATCTAACATTGGATTTTTTTTTTTTTTAACATTGAAAATGGTGTCAAAGCTGTAAAGCAATGCTGATATGCACCTTGTTTTATGCCCATGAATGTTCTGCAGCAAGTTTTTGGATTTGGTTTGTTTTTGTTTTTTATGCAAAGCAGTATCAGCAAACAGAAGCAATTGCACCATAAACATGAGTAACCTCTAAATTATCCATAATTATATTTAATGAAAAGTTCCTTGAAGTCCCTTAGTTACCTTCAAATGACATAGTGTTAATAATTAGCTTATCATACTAAGCTGATTTCTCAGCAGCTTCAGTCTCCTGTTCAGATAGTTTCTCTTCTGACAGTACCGTCATCCACGGGGACACTGAGCGCGTGATGGTTTGTTTGGCCAGATTGTAGTGGTTTATGACTGTGTAAAATTTCCCTCGAGCACTGGAGTCTTGCTCAGAGTAGTAGTTTTCCAACCCAGCTGGAATGCATTGATTATTCTGAAAAGAAAATCCATCACTTAGATTACGGATACAGCCCCATACACACCAAAAGTAGGTTAGGGTGGGTTTTTTTTTTTCCTTGTCCTTTTAGTCTAAGCCAACATCCACTTTCTGTGAGTCAAGATGCAACACGCAGCAATTAACTGCAGTGTTGTCCTACTGCATTCAGAATGTTCTTCCCGGCAATCTTTAAACTACTGCTGCCTTTGCCAGGAAGACCAGTCTGGGTTTATATGCCGGAATAATTAACATACAAGAAACATGCTTGCCTGAAATTATTTTTGAAAGTACTCAATCTCTAGTTCCAGCCATATTTTGCGGCTTTTTTCTCCCCTTGTTCCAACTGTTTGGTCTACAATTACAGGTGCCTACATGCTGCCCTCAGGTTGGCTCCAAGCACTCTGATACGGTGTTTTCTTTCTGAGCCACAGAAATTAATATAGCTCTATTGGTGCCAAGGTATGAACAGTTTTACAGCCCAGTAAATAAGACATACAGAGAAAACACCGTGGGTGGCCAAGCTTATGTGCAAGTGTGTACACACATACAAAATACTTCACTCTTGGTGACTGTCAGAAAGATGTAGCCAAAAAGCTATCTTTAGCTGTGGGATTACATTATTTCATTTCCCAGAAGCACAAGAGCACTGCATGGAAACTGCTAGATGCTCAGAGCTTTTGGAAGTGAAATACCTGATACAGAGAGTTAAAATACCAAGTAGGATCCAAACTTTGCTGTCATCTTAAAAACCAAAGTGAACATGCACATGCAGTGTGTCAGCAGGTATCGTCGAGCCACCGTTGCAGTGACGGTGCAGTAAAAGCCTATGGAGCAGCCAGTGGCACTGCAGGAAAAAGGGACTTGGACATCTCCTGGGGCTCCCCAGGTTTCACCCCAGGTGGCCACAGGTCTCTCCGCAGGTCCTCTGCTGCAGGACCCTGGGCAATGGAATTGACCCTCTAAAATACAGGCTAGAAGTAGCCGCAGCTTGAAGAAGTAGTAAGTTTAAACATTTCTACTCTGTTTTAAAAAGAAATGGGCTGTTTAGTCTTTTTGCTTCCAGCACCTGAAGACTATAGTACTACAGCACAGCAACTTTGAACTGCTACTGTTCTCATAGAACTTGTCAAACAAAACTTCATACTGGAAATTTCTAAGCAAAAACACACAGGCAAAAATGTCATGGTTTTTAGGACCAGATGCTGTCTATCTCAAATGTGTCCACATTTTACTTTTGGGTTGACTTGTCAGAAAAAAAAAAAGAAAGAGAAGTGTCATAAATAAGCACCAGTAACAACAGTTGCAAATTGCTTAAATCATAAAGCACAAAATGACTGGGGGAAGACCCAGCAGACCATCTTGGCTTAATACAAATTTTGCATCCCAAACATGTTAGAGTAAAAAAAACACCCCATCAACAACGGGTGACTTATCCCTCCCTGTCCTATCTCAAATCCCAAGCCTGACTTATTTTCTCCTTCTCAGCACTGGGGGAAAGGGTGAAGTGAGCAGCTGTGTGGTGCTCAGTTGCCCTCTGAGCTCAGACCACAATAAAAGGTATCAAAGAAAAAAGGAAAACTTGCCAAAACCACAGGCCTGGAGGTAGTCTTATGAAGCTGCCTGCCCTGCAATGAAGACAATCTTTGTGGGAAGTCCAACTGCTGAAAGAACAGTCACCATCACAAGAGTGACAGGCCTCCTGCTGAGGTGACACCTCATCGGTTCTAACCCCCTTGTGTGACAGAAGCCTCAATGTATGTCACACTCCCAACAGTGCTCAAAATTACCACATCTGCCCAGTTTCAGTTTAGTTATCTTTTGTTCAGGCAGCAGCCAGGGCAAATCTTCCCTCACAGTTTTGTTTGAAGTGGCACTACAAAGCAGATGGGATTTAACCCCCGCTAAGCAGACACCCGTGCCTACGCTGCAGTGTTTAGGTCAATGGAGGCTTCCCCATGGTCATAATCATAGTATATGCCAGCTGCAAGAGTGGGACCTAGATTTAAAAAAAAAAAAAAATAGTTCAGGAATCTGGCACAGAGGTATTAGATATGCATGTTCACCTACATCAACCATACCATCTTCTGGAAGTATTATCCACGCTCTATCTGGGATAACTGACACTACTTCTGATGCGATAAAATGACTAAGAACATAGGCACAGACAGCTTTGGAGTGATTATTTCCCCCAGTCATGGGACGTAGTCACAATTCTAAATATTTAAAAAGGGGGAAGGAACACAATCCATTGATCTACTGAAAACTGCCAAGGAAGTTCAAGCAAATACAATTATTAGTGCTGAAGACAAGCCAAGATCACTGCCAGTCTAAAAACACGCCACAGTATTTTGTGTTGCTTTTAGAAGCAATTTGCTTTGTAACAGGCAAAATGACTCAGTAATGTTATTTTTTGTGATCACAAACACGCGCAACATCTGACAGAAGACCCCAAAGAAACACAGCAGAATTTCCATCCTGACTGCATTTTTGCTCCTGGGATTTCATGCTTCTAGAGAAGACAGGAAAACACTCCCCTTTTACTCACTGCTCCTTGTGTACTGCCCAAGGACAGCCCCCTGTGCTTGGCTTCCCATCAGGGCAGGCCATGCAGCACTCAGGAGTGACTGAGCGATGGGAACTGGTGGCAATTCTCACCCTGCCGCTTGCCCGAGACCTTCAGCTCACGCAGAACATTTCTCTCCATCCTTTTTATTTGCTTCTGTGGTTCCCAGGTGACAGATGTAATAAGGAAGGCCATGAGGACAAATTGGGATGCTCCAGAGTGAGTTGCCAGTCTCGTGTTTCTTTCACAACCCTTCTATTTCAGAAATTAGTTACGGGTTAAAACCTTTGATGCCAGAGAAAACCCTGGTTGCCAGTCTCTATCTGGCTGCATTAAGATGACTCCTTTCGTTCCCCTGACACAAAGAGCCCAGTGGTATTCACTTATAAATAAGTGTCACACTGCCTTTGCTGGGTCAGAAATTCCAACCTTAATAGATAATAGCGGTGTCTTTAACGCACTGAAATTACTTTGTTTTACTGTCCATGAGTCTGACAGAACACAGGTGCCTTGGCAAGGAAAGCTAAAGGGTAACCAGTGCAGTACGGAGCATACTGAAGCCCTGGAGAAATCCCTCCAGGATAGAAGTGTGCTCAGGTCTTCGAGGAAAACTGGTGAGTCTCACCAACAGTCAGTAGTGCTTCAGAGGAATCATCTACACAAGAGCAGTCTTAGGGCTGTGTCAAAAAGCTTGAGCAAGCACAAAACTGAGGCTCAAGCAGTTTTGAGATTGCTATACAAAGGAAGATGAGCACGTCTTTAAGCATACCTTCAAGCCCTGGATGTGCAGGAGAGCAGAAAGGCTGAAAACACTGATACCTTTGGAACTGCTCCATGTATGACAGCATCAAAGCAGAGACGAGTGAGTCTGCCTCAGCTGTGGCAGCTCAGCCTTTGTGCAGCAATTCCCATGGCACCACCTGGCAGGGGACACCTTTGCCCTTAACCAGGAAAGCACATCGGCATCCAAAGCCTGGGGACATCCAGGCCAGGGAACGTTGCTGAGTCCACCTGAAGCACGAAGCCAGGCCAGAGACACTGGTCACAAGGTGACAGGCTTCATCTCTCTTAGGACATCTGTGCCAAGCCATGCCATGACGCATTATGGACTCTCCCAAAAAAAGATGCAAAGGCAACAAATACAAATTCATCTCAACACAGCGAGTTTCAGGCCTTGTGTCACTTGCTAATGTGTTTATCCTGTAACGCTCGTGAGAGTTCATGACCAAAGATGCTGTGTCTCCTGGCATTATGCTACCAAGTAGCTAGGAAACAGCCTCCACAAAACCCAGCACTGGGAGAAACTAATAGTAGTGCAGCCCTGGGTACGTGCTGCACCTTAAAAACAAAGCACGAGCTATGGGACACCCTGCCCAACTTCTGTTTCACACACAGGGCCCTGTGGAGAGAAACCCAACTAGATTCTGTTCACAGCGTAACTGAAATATAACTAAGAAACTGTTCTCCCCTTAAATGTTTGTGACTTTAGAAAGAAAGGACAAAAGAATCCAGAAGGCTGCAACTCGAAGACGATAACATGGTATGAAAGGAAGCAGAAGCAGCAGACTTACTAGACTTGTGACAGGAGCACGTAACCGGCCATTCCTGTCAAGGCAGGATCACATCAAGATAGGTTCGGTAGGAACATACAGTCCATAAACCAAATTACTCAAAGCCAAGAGAAAGCTTAGGAAGAAAAGGGCTATCATCTCATGAGACATCAGCACAGCGGAGTTTCAGTGCTGGTCTGAGACAACACAAAAAAACAACAGCAGAACCAAAAGCTGATCTCTCAGGTTACAGCCAAATATTCTAACCACAGCACCTTTTGCCCTTGAACCAAGGGAAAGCAGTAACCTAAAACTGAATGCTTGGAGCTAAGGCAATCCAGGAGGGCATCACTGATTAACTTTGGACTAGATTCTTGTGAGGTATTTATGTGCCTGAAGAGACAGAATCAAAAAGTCCTGAACAGGATCATCACGGACTGCCGAGGCAGCCATTCCTTCTTAAATCCTTTTGAAGATCATACTAGGTACCCGTTTGTGACTTCTTTAAATTTATTCTTTAAAAATTAGAGGGAAGAATGCCATCATTACTGCTACTCTCTTATCTAATTAGAGCCAAATTCAACCCCGCTAAATTTACAACTGAGACATCCATGTTACCTTTCTACCTTTCTGACTTTTAGCCCAGGCCATAGCTGAGGAGCCAGCACTACCAGCTCGCACGAATGAAGTGAGCCCCAGCCCCTCTTTTGGTTAGAACCAGTATTTTTTCCAATAAATATGTTTTCCCTTTTTTAGCACCACTTTTGGCCTGTGGCAGTAGGGCTCGGAGGTCACTGTTCTAGAACAAGAATTTCCTTCTACAAAAATAACCCTAAGGTAACTTTTATGGCTACTCTTAATGAGAACACTACGGTTCCTTTGACACATATTCCAGAGTAATTTTTCTCCTCCGGGTTTTATCAGTCTCTTCTTTCCCATGACACATGAATTTGGAGGAACATGCAACCATAGGACCGAGTCAGGGCTTTGTCCAGACAACTGCAGATGAAGTAGGTTTGAAGAACACTGGTGTTGTGTCTTTTGCTGTATTTTCAATGTTTAAAGCATTAGCAAAATAACAACACTATGAAAACTGTGCAATAGTGCAACTTCAATTATAAATTAAGCAGAAACAAACATAGCAGGAAACACAGTAACCTATGAAAACAAACAACAATTTCTAGGCAATACAGCATGACCTAATCAAGGTTATGCAGAAAACAACACAGAATATTAGATACTCTCCTATTTTTCTAGAATGTGTACACAATTTACCTTGAAAACAAATCCTTCTGGACAGGTATGATCATACTTGTAAACCTTGTAGACTACCAGAAATACAACACAAGTTAAGAATGCAAGGGCAAAAAGGACCAGCACAGTTACCTGTAAAGAAAAATAAAACATGCTTATGTTAGTAATGCACTGCTTATTATATTGCTGTTTGTTACTGTAGACAGCAGAAGTCAGCTATGAATGCACTTTACAGTAAAATCGAGCAAAGGATAAAACCAGCTTCTTAATTATTGAGGGAGAACAGGGAAGCAGCATGTAAATGCTTCTACCTCCCCCTTCTCAGAGAGGAAAGCAGATGATCTGGTCAGTGGCCCATTGCCTCTGTACTACAAGGCTTTTTTGGTTGAAGTTCTGTTCAGTGCACACATCGAGGTAGCTCGCGTCTGCTGCTTTTTCAGTATTTGGATGATGTAAGTTTAGTTTACGTCAGCTGGTAAGCATGCTTGTTTTTCCTGCACCTGTCCAAGAACACAGTTGGGTGACAGTAAGTTAGCACAGGTGTCATCCAGAGAATACAAAGGTGACTCTAGCAGGGCAAGGGGACAGTAACGTCTGCCCTCTCCTGTTAGGATGAGCATTTGTTGCACCCACGATGAATGTATGGATAGTTACACCAGTAGTCTGCACACTTAGCTGCTCAGTGCTCCTTAATTTATAGGTTGAAACAGTGCTACTTCATCAGAGATTCTACAGAAGTTCACTGCCAGAGCCATAAGGGAATACACCATGTCCAACACAGGGCTAGCCTCGACAAGTTCTGCTGAAACTCTTTCTACAGTGCTCACAGAGAAGCCTTTACAGACTGCATTACATGGCACTGACTTCTCACCACGTCCTTAAGGACCTCTCTGGTCCTGCATGTGGGCTGGAGGAAAATCCAAGATGCTCCTTAAGTTGAATCTGAAATCAGTGTCAGTATCAAGCTAACCCTTCCCATGAATAAATTCTGAGCAGCTGGAGACCGGCAGCCTTTTAGGTGAGACGGGAACCAGAACTACCTCACCTGCTGAAAAGGGAAAGCACGGGATTTTGGCCTAGCAGTTACACTGCAAAGCTTCCTAATTCAGACCAGTTTTTGTGGAAGCTGTGAACTGATCAAGGAGCATTCATAACCTGGGAGATGTGTGTTTTTATTATTCTAAAGCTTCTGATAGACAAATGTATAGCTCAAGATTACAGAGTGGCTGAGCTAATTCTTTTGTAAATTATAAAGAAGCCAGCACATGCTACAGTGTAAGAAACAGTAATAAACAAACAAGATTATGTGATTAATTAAAACATAATATAATGTGATCTAAATTTTAAAGGAAGATGAGTAAGCCAATACATACACCTCCTAAAAAGAGAATTTAGGGACATCAGTGTCAAATTATGCAAACAAGAATAATCTGGTATTTGGTAAAGCAACAAAAAAAATTTTAGCTTTGCCTCTTGGTAAAAAAACCCACCACAGACTCCCTTTATGATAAACCCCAGAACTAATAGGATTTGCAACACTGCAAACTGTGTGTGGCAGTGGAACTAGTACACTGAAGGACTGAGATGAACTTTTAGGGACTTCTCATACTAGGGAAGCAAACTTCACCATGGGCAGACCACAGTGAGTGCTAAATTTCCTTGCTCGAGCAAGGTTGGAGAGTATCGTGTGCTGGGAAGCCAAGGGTTATATAAGGATTTTTGTTAGACAGAAAATAAGCAGAAAAAGAGGGACAGAGGAGAGGCCGAGAGAACTGCAGATCAGAAAGTAACTTAGCAGAAGTGTGGCTATTAATGTAACAATGCCAATCAAAATGGGACATGGAGCAAAGGACCTTTCTGGTTAGCAGCAACATCTTCAGTTTCTCAGAACAGTCACTGGATTAGGCCCCTCCCCCCAAAAAAAAGAAAAAAAAACCAACCAAACAAAACCCCCATATTCTTAAACACCCTCCAAAATCTTCACATTGACATCAGTTTTCAAATCCAGTTAGTGTTTTCCTCAAGTTTATTACTCATTTTCATACACAAAGGTCTTGCCAACCTCCTATTTTCTGCTCACATGTCCCATGGACTCATGCAGGACATACTGAGACAAGAGATAAAGCGCATTTTCTTTTCTGATCATTCTCTGTGGCCCAGTTTAAAAACAAACAACATATACACACCCTCCCCTCCATCCTGGCCAAGCTCAGCCCTTCTCATACGTTTTTAATCAGGCTTTTTATTTCTACATTTGTTTGGGGGTTTCCTCAGCTACCACACCCACACACACGTACAAGGCCCTTCACACTCTGGCTTGACCCAAACCTTGCATCCCATCTTCCAGTGTCTTCCCCTCCCCACAACTGTAATGAGCCTTATTTTCTATTCTCCCCCTCCCCAAAATTCTCCTTGCACTCCAGGCTCTAGAAAAACCAACGTTTCTCCCCTAAGCTTGCAGTTCCCAGATGGGGATCCTTGTCCCACCTCCCAGATGCCTTCCTGGTACCTCTAAGTCCCCCCCACAGCTTGTGCCAGCTGTACCCCTAACCAGAAAGAAGAACCAGAAAGGAGGGAGCACTCCAGCCAGCCCAGCAGCTCTACAACATATGGCCCAGTCCAAGCTGCAGGGTTTGGGTCATTCACTTCCCACTGACTCAAAATATATGTTACGCTGTTCCTTTGGCTCCGACAGCCACTGTGCTTTCCCTTGGAGGAGAAAGGGAAAAGAGAGACTAGAAAATGGTTATGAAAAAGATTAAATCCAGATGGGATTATTGCTGAGGCTTTCCATACCCTGCAAGATACATTCCACACAGCCTTCAAAGGCTCCTCTCTCCAGGAGCACAGGCCTGTGACATGGGACACGGACACCAAGCAGAACAACTGCTGTGGTACAGATCCGATTCAGCCCACATTTGTCTTCTCTCCACAGATGGGAGTGAACAGTTTAAAATTCTTTGAAAATATTCTCAAATCTCAAAGCATTTTAACCATACTCCCTGGCCATCCTACTAGCAAGGAATAGCATAATTATAACATTATTTCCCAGTCATAACCATTTTGACATACAGATGCAGCCTCAGGAATGTACTGTAGAGCTAACATACTATTTTGTATTTGAGATCAAATACTAGACAATAAAAAAAGATTTTTATTTCCACAGTCACTGCAAGCTCACTCTCTCCAAGGCTCTGAAACTGTTTTGGAGAGTAATTATGTTTTCTGAAAGAGGTCAAAAGCCCAGCGTTGTGCAGATTGCTGGAGCCTGGCAAGTTGTAGAGCCACAACCTCAGGGCTGATTTGCTGAGACATGGAGCGTTTATCTGTTTCAGCGACCTACATGGAGCAGAGTTCTCACTGCTTGTACAAGTCAACATCCAGCATGGATCTTCCATTGCCACTCAGTAAGCCACTGGGAAGAGCTCTCAGAGCTCCTGGTTTGTAATTCTCATGGAATCTTTCGCTCACTGTATTGCCTAATATTATTAATTTTGGTATTAAACTGTAAATTTTTACTCTCATTATCTCCAATAACTTGCAATCACACTCCATCTGCAAATCCCTGATCAAGTAAACTCTTGTCTCATTCCTATTAGGAGAGAAGCTCCCTTCTCTTACCATCCTTCAGGACACAAGTAACTTCTACTTAAGTAACAGTCAGTCGCACATGTAAACAACACAGAGGAAAGAAATCCATCACTGGATTCCAAGGTGATCACAGGCACCTGTTAATCCAATCCACTTCTCCCTTGTAAACGGAAAATGCTTCTCTTCCTTCTAACAGCCATTTTCCTTCACTCTCATAATAATTCACCGATGGACCACAATTGTCAGATCCCCAGGTTCACATCTGAACTTGAGGCAGTCAGCTTCTCTCCCCCACTGGTAACACAGTGTGACCCCATCTCTCTGTTTCACACTCTGAGCCCTCTCCTCCCAGATGCCTTTCAGAAATAAAAGCATGGAAAGAGGGAAGGCAATAAGCTGCTCTTTAGATCACGGCCGCTACCAAAGCTATCATTCTATTGCCTTCTTCCACAGCAACTTTGCACACTCACTATAAACTAAAGAAAAGTTATTATCTTCTTCCGCCCAAGGCACTGGCAGGAACTTGTTCGCTTCCTCCATTCAAGGTAGGAGAGGATGCAATGCATGTGCAAGCACCACTCTCTTCTGGAAGGAAATCTTGAATCTATTCTCTTTGTGGTAGCCATCTGGCTGAGTGCAGGACCCCATACAGTGGGAGCAGAAGTCTTTTGAATTACTGTGATCATTCACTGCCATGTAGATCCTGAATACCTCCAAAGTGACTGTCACACCACACAAGCGATGAGCTTTTAAAGTATTTTTTATGAAATAACCACAAGATAGCACCAACAACTATTTATTTTAACTACAAAGTGATAGGTTTGTTTTCCAAGTGGTAGTTTTGTTTTCATCTTGAGAGTGTCCTTTAAAGTTGGTTTTAAGGGGATCTGGCAGCAAAACTAAGCAAACAGAAAAGATGACAAGGTATTATGTATGTGGCAGATTTTTGAATAGATTGTAAGTGAAGAGCAGAAGGACAACGTCTAGCCAGAAGCCATTACAGTAATCGAAATGAGAGATGACTAATGAATGAAGTGTACCCACAGCAAAAAAAAAAAAAAAAAAAAACAAACTGTCTTCAGACTCTGTAAGCATTTAGCGGAACAAATTAAACTCACCAGATCTGACAACTACACTAACACAGAAACAGCTCATGGTAAGGCCTTACCATCAGGATCTGCTAGATTTTCCCAACCAGTCCACCCTACTTTGCTACAGCTGCAAAACTCTGCAAGCTGTATTTTCTCTGCCTGGCTACTGCAGTCTGCTCCCTCCTCACTTTGCTAACATTTATTGTGCTCCCTTTTTAATCAAGCTGGAATATTACAGCAAAATTCATCAATTGCACCAACTGTGTCTGCTTCTCTTCACACACCTTCCTGGTGCCTGTCCCTTTCTGAACAAATTACAAGCCATGTTTCAAGGCATGCACAAGTCTGCCCCTTTTGTTCCTCTTTGCTCTATCTCCTTCCATTTTGCTTATATCCCACTGAAGGTTGGGTACCATCTGTTCTTCCTCTGCCTTCACCTTTCTTGTCATA